CACACACACACACACACACACACACACACACACACACACACACACACACACACACACACACTGACAGATGATTGTAGCTGTTTACCAATTAAAACCCCCACTTTATTCATTGGCTTCCAAATGCTTTACTTGGTATTAATTTGAAACTGTATGAGTAATTGCAGTGTATTAACTAGTACTGAATTCTGCTTCTGCACCTGTGCAAACTGGTTCTTTTGTTTTTGCMAAAGCAAAACAGCCTTTAATTGAAACAGAACCCTCGTGATTCACCTGTTTGTCATTTTGTTTCAAGTCACAATGTATTCTAATACGTACTAGGCCTTTTTGCCTTCAAAGCAGGAGACTTTAAAGTCCTAGATGGTTCTTGCAAGACCTGCTGATGTGCTTCCCAAGAAGAGGTTTTCAAAATGTTTAAGCAAGTGAAAAGTGACTAAATAATATTCATTTGGTCACTCAAATGCAGATCAGYACATCAAGAAAGAGAGGCTGCAAGAAAAACGTCTTGAATGTTAATATTTTTCAAAATGACTTATCTGTTGTATGTTTTTAGGTGTTTGTATTTGATGTAGGTGGAAAACAATGGAAGTCCTACAACTGGACAGTGGTGACAACTGTGGCTGCGTTTGGAAAATTTGATGCTGAGCTCATGTGTTACGCTCACTCCAAAGGTGCACGACTTGTCCTTAAAGGTAAGCTAGCTTCCTGCTTTGTGACAGCTGCACGGACTGTCAGACAATAATGGACGATAATTAAAATTGTTCTCTCCATTTATTCAATAATTATCAATAATAATTTTATTTCATGCTCATTAAAGGTGATGTTCCCATCTCCTCCATCGTGGACCGAGCCAACMGAACCGCGTGGATAACGAAGCAGGTAAACTTAGCCAAGAGTCAGTTTATGGACGGGATCAACATCGACGTGGAGCAGGCGGTGGACGAGGGCTCGCCAGAGTACTTCGCTCTGACAGACTTGGTCAGAGAGACGACTGAGGCGTTCCACAGAGAAATCCCAGGTTCCCAGGTGAAAGAAATGTTTCAACTTCAATCTGGGAGGATTCAAACGAGGCAGTTTGTGTATTTCTACCTGATTGTCACCTTTTATTTTCAGGTGTCATTTGATGTTGCCTGGTCACCAAACTGTATTGATAAGCGTTGCTATGATTACATCAGCATCGCCAAATACTCTGACCTGCTGTTTGTGATGTCCTATGACGAGCAGAGCCAGATCCCTGGTGACTGCATCGCAATGGCAAACGCACCTCTCAACCAAACTCTGAAAGGTTTGTTATCCAGGTTCACCTTTACGGTCCGAACAAATCAGATTGTAATTAACTAGGATGTGCTAAGATATTTTGTTTTCTATCTTTTTTTAGCTTATGACGACTATTTGGCTCTAAATATTGATCCCAAGAAGATCGTAATGGGAGTGCCGTGGTATGGCTATGACTATCCTTGTGTCAACCTTTCCCAGGTATGATGAAGTTAATTAAAATACTAAACATTAAAGTTCATRTCAGTGGAAAATTGATCGATTTGTAGATTAATTAAACTGATCATTAGCATTTTGAAAATAATCAACACAGAGCATGTTTTTTTTTTCTTCCCCTATAAAATCTAGTAAATTGTAATGTATATTACAGTTATGGGTTAGATATACTGTATATCTATAATTTGCGATTTTAATTTCTAAAGATGGGAGCTGGGGTCAGTTGTTCAACCTCTAGTCCATATTTTTATCCCACTGAAAGAAATAAGCTGTAGTTTCTAATTAATCTAAACTTGGCCAAACTTTGTGGATAAATCAATTAGCAATGTTTTTTATGATTATTTCGCTTCTCTCACACCCTGGTGGACTTCAATGCCTTCTCCTATACTGCCACCTTGTGGTTGAACATGCAGACTCATTAGCAGTACATTGTTGCTTTTGATCATTGATTATCTGATCACAAGGAGTTTATATAGAACAGCTGGAGTGCACAGAAACCACGTGACCATGTGATCGGCTGGTGAAGCTAACGGCTAATGCTAAATGGTCAAAAGTCTGGGTTTCTCATTACTGTACATGTTGACAACAGAGCAGAAAAAAAGGACTGACGATGTAGAAATCATAAAAACTGTTAATAATAATACTAACCCAATTATTATTAATATTTTACAGTTTCTGTAATCTATCTAATGTTTTAAATGTCAGAAAAGCTGTTTGTTATGGATTTATTAACAGAAGATAAACAGGAAAACGTCTCATTTCACAACACAAGTCAGCAGATTTGATCTTATTTAGCTCAATGAGATCTGAGCAGAACATAA